GCAGCGCCGGTCGGTGCCGGGCAGCGGCGGCGGGGGCTGAATCCCGGCAGGAAGGAGAGGAACAAGAAAGGTCCGGGGCCGCCTGCAGTGTCCGATCCCCGGGAGCGGCGGGGAGGCCTCGGGGAGCGGCGGCGGGCGGGGCCCTTTGGAGCCGCCCCGAGGGGTTTGTGCCACCCCGGGTCCCTGAAGGAGCCGCTCCGCGGGACCGGCGAGGTGCGAAAGAGAGAAAAGACAAAAAATAGAGTAAACTGTAATGAAATGGAGCAGCCCCAAGGCAGATCTCCACCCCGCCCCCCTCACCCCTCCCCGTGTCACTGAAGCAGCCGCCGTGAAGCATAGGCGAGGTGTGAGTGCAATGAAAGGTAAGGAATAAAATAAAATAAATAATAAAATAAAAGCTGCACGGATGGCTCTCGGCCGCCCCGTGGTAATGAAGGAGCCGCAGAATCCGGGGAGCCCAGAAATTCCCGGAAATCGCTCCCGGGCACTGAAAATCCTTTTCAGGAAGGATTTATGCCGTGACACTCGAAGCTCAGCGGCTTCGGGCAGGGATTGCAGCAGCGGGGGAAGCGCTGGGGGGAAATGTGGGGCAGAGCGGAGGGTTTGGGGTCTCCTGGAGCGGATCGGAGCGATCAGACATCGCCATCCAGCACTGGCTGCGGATCCTGTCGCTTTCTATGGACCAGGTCCGGAGGGGAGGAGGATCAGCATTTACAGCTCTTGGACTTCAGGCAGGGACAGTCCCCACTGGACTCGCCCGGGGCACTCAGACCCTTCGAACCCGTCACTGACCCCATGAGGGTCCATGTCCTCCCATTTCCCTCAGAAGGTCGCTCTGACTTTTCTTCTGGAGAGAAACCTCACAACAGGCTCGTGTCAGAGTAGGAAACCCCACAACAGCTCTGAACCACACTGATCACAACAGCCGAGGAATCCCAGCTGTGACGGCAATTTCCTGTCACAGCCCGGCTCCCCCATCCCCCCCAGGCTCTCTCCTGGCCCCAGGTCAGAGTTTGGTGGCTTCTCGCTGGCAGATCAACTGAAATTCCGATTCGCAGTTCTCAGAGATGATTTGCTTGCCCCTGATTGCCCCACATTTTCCAGGCTGCTCCCCGGGGTTCATCTGGAATCTGCAGGTGCAGGAGGGAGCCTGGGTCATCCCCGGAGGTCCCTCAGGGGACAATGGGGTGCCCCGTTTGGCCCCCAGCGCTCCCCTGGTGCTCACCGGTCCCGGTCCAGGCGGGAGCCGTTCACCCATGT